AACTCCTGAGCTCAAACAATCCACCCGCCTCGGCCTCCCAGAGAGCTAGGATTACAGGCGTGAGCCACCGTGCCCGGCCAACATTTCTTATCTATCGTTTTTTCCCAAATTGTCTTAATGATTTTTCCATTTTTCGTATACTTTTATAATGTATACAAGTTAATTTTTCAAGTATTTCTTTTAATATGTTCACTCTAGATATGTGACAACAGTCATATCATGGTGCAGAAGGCTGACCCAGACTAGTCCCAGAGAGATGCCTGCACATCCTTCATCTTCTGTTCCTGAAGAAAATTGGTATTTACATTTCTTTTAAACTTAATCTGTGTAGAAGACCAAACTAATACTTAAAAATTAAAGTGTCAAATGGTAAACTGTTAGTCTTTTTTCCCAAAAAATACTTTCTTTGTTTTAGACATTTTTAACTCCTATAATATTTTTTATACCTTAAGCTTGAAAATAATTTATTTCTAATCAGACATCTAATTTATTACATTTCATCATATTTTATCTGAAACCTTGCATTGAAAACTTCACATGAAAATGAGTGGCTCTTTTTATGAGCTAAATTCATTCTGAAAACTTTAGGGAAAATTTTAAAGGGGAGTCTTAAAATTTTAGTAATATTAAAGGAAATAAAATGTTGACTAACATAATAATCTTTCAGAAAAAGCTGATTTTTAAATAATTTTTATCATATTAGTTATCTCCCCCAAATTAATTGGCAAATCAACAAATAAAGCAAGCGTTTTAGTCTTTCTTGTGTGCTTTTCAGTATGCAAGGTACTAGAACTGGGCTTCAAAGGAATATTTTGGGAAAATAAGACATTTTAGGGAAGAAGCAAGGACAGAAGTAAAAAAGATATTTTGGCCTGTGGAAGCAGTAAGAAGATAGTTTTAATGGAGCAGATGCTATCTGTTAGGGTATAGTATGAGTTTTGATGGATAGGAATGGATCTTGTAATAAGTAGATGAGTTCAGACTTGATAGAATTACAAGTTCCTAAATGGAAAAATGATAGGAAGAAAGGTCATTAGGAAGATTAGTATCACTGAGAGTTCTGTATAAATGAGATCTTAATGTATGCACAAAGTACAGAAAAATAAGATCCTTCCTTCTGAGAAAGACAATCTAGGTAGGAATATCAGAAAGTTAAATAATTCAAGAGAAGACATTACAAAGAAGTATGTGATTAAGTAACACAATGCTATAGGAATTCAAGGATAACATCCTTATTCACAGAAGGGATGGGATTCTGGTAGGTTTTTAAAGTTTGAATAAACTGTAGGGAAGAAAGTAGAGTGTATGCCAGGTTAGTACTAAGAAGTAGCAGGAAGGCCTATTACCTTCAAATGGCAATATTTGATTACAAAGTCCTTGATGTGGGGACTTTTATTCACTTGCCTATAAAAGCACTCAATAAATATCAGTTGAGTCAGTTTGATTTGGTGCTAAATAAAGCCATTAATAATATAAAGAAAATTCTTAACTTCTAGGTTCTTCTGTTTAAAATTCTAACCTTTATGAAAAAAAGTCAAGTATGCTTATTTGAAATTTCACAAATATGAAAGAACCAGACATCTAGCATGAACTTACTTTTTTTTTTTTCTTGCACAGGTCTGTTGCTTCTGAACTTGAAAAAATACAGAAGTTTAACTGTATCCTTTAAACAAAATGCATTGTCCTGCCTAATTATTAAATACTTCCTTTCCATTCTAGGCTTAATTCAAGATGGAATACTTTGTGAATATTAATCCATACTTACATATTGCTGAGCTTTGAGTCAGCAAATATTTAAGATTATAATTTAAGATATATCCTGCCTATGGAAGGTACATTATGTTAACATTTATACTTTTCTTTAGGTTTAAGTTGGGCAAGGAACAGTGAAAACTAGGGTTAAGGTCTCCTTTGGGGACTTTTTCATATGACTATATTCTAAATTATAACTGTTTAAGACCATATCTCTGACATCTTTTTCTTACAAAACCTTTTTGTTCTGTACCTGGTTTGTTATTTTTTTTTGTGGTTTTTTTTGTTTCTTTGTTTATTTGTTTTTTGGTAGACAGTCTTGCTCTGTCGCCCTGGCTAGTGTGCAGTGGTGTCATCATAGCTCACTACAACCTCAAACTCCTGGGCTTGGCCAGGCTCAGTGGCTCAGGCCTGTAATCCTAGCACTCTGGGAGGCCAAGGCAGGAGGATCTCTTGAGGTCAGGAGTTTAAGACCAGCCTGAGCAAGAGCGAAACCTTGTCTCTACAAAATATAGAAAAAATTGGCCAGACGTGGTGGCATGGAACTGTAGTCCCAGCTATTCGGGAGGCTGAGGTGGTAGGATCACTTGAGCACAGGAGTTTGAGGTTACAGTGAGCAATGATGACACCACTGCACTCCACCCAGGGCAACAGAGCCAGACTCTGTCTCAAAAAAAAAAACAACAACAACCTCCTGGACTCAAGCAATCCTCCTACCTCAGCCTCCTGAGTAGCTAGGACTACAGGCACGTGGCCCCCAGCTAATTCTTCTATTTTGTTATGGGGTCTCACTCTTGCTCAGGCTGGTCTCGAACTCCTGGGCTCAAGCTCCCACCTCAGCCTCCCAGAGTGCTAGGATTACAGGCGTGATCCACTGCACCTGACCTGTTCTGTACATTCTCACCCCATTCATTTAAATTTGTTTTGTCTTCTGATTTTTCTTTAATCTTATTCAAATAATAAAGTAGTCCTATAAGAGAAGACAGGTTTCTTTTCACTCTAGATCTTTTCAAATTAAAAAATACACCATACAGATTGTTTATAATCCTATCATCCCTACTCTTTTTTTTTAATTCCCATGACATTTCTTCACTTAAAGAAATGTTACTTCTTTTTAATAGATTTTAATTTCTAATAGATTTCGACTTTTATTTCCTCCTTACCACCAAACTTCCACCCAAACACATAATACATACTTTATTTTCCTTCCCTGCTTTACTGTTACTAATTTCCTCATCTATAACGGGTAGACTATGATAAGCTCTGAAGTCCTAACTCTATTATGAATCCAAGAGATCTTACTTCCAATTGAGACATAATATTTTAATATGAAGCACAATTTTTCTGAAAATAAAGATATTTATATAATGAAAATGTGGAAAAAAGCTTCTTAACTAAGTAATTCAGTGCTCCTGGAGAACAGTGGTGTCCTAAACCAGATTTCTAATAAGAAAAATGAACTGTCTTCTGATCATTATAAACCAAGATCTACAGAAACTTTGCTAGAAGAAGTTAATGAAAAGAGAGTATCAGTAGCATTGAAAAAAACTTCTGAAATCCTTCAGGATATTGACTGTCTTCTGTCAAACTCTAAAAAGTGAAAAATAGAATTATTATGTTATTAAATCTTAAGACTGTTGTTTCAAGTGACTGGTATAAAATTACTAGTAAGCCAAGAAATTGTATATATTACTTCTGCACAGCAATTGTATGAGAATTGACATTTAATTTTGGAAGTGTTTTACCTAGTTTGTAAAGTTTTAAAATAAATGTTTGTAATATACTGTATTAATAAAGAACTATTTTGAAATTTTGAACTATTTCATTTAATTCTTAGTTCAGATTTATGAGAAAAAAACAAAGTTATAAAGTTGTTTTTATCTTGCGGAGCATTCACTATTAATCTTCAAGTTTTTTTCTTTTTTTAATATGCAAAATTGTACATTTGGTCATTTGCTATTTAGTCTCTCTAGTCCAAGTATTTTTCAGTAGAACTATAAGAAGAGAACTAGATCTCAAGAAAGCAAACAAAAACTGATCTAAGCAATACTGAAGATAAGAATCAAGCACTTCAGTGAAGACTAGATTTTATCTATACTGTCTCATGAACTGGATACTTTCATTTCTTTTGAATATATGAAAAAATTTATGCTGCAAAGTGTGTGAAATTAAGAGAAATTATCTCACCAGAAGTGGTTTATTACAGCCTTATTTATTAGGAAAGAACAAAACCACACATCTAAAAGACTTCAAGATTACACCAAATACAACCAGAAATATTGTAATTTTCTGATTTCTATAAAAGACCAAGCTCTTTACATAAAAGGGGAACAGCAACAGAGGGAACAAGGAGAAAAAAATGTATAGAAAAAAAGAGTATAGTTGATCAAGAGTGATAATGGTGCATTGAATAGGCACAGTGCCCCTTTTTTATTTTCAGCTCATGTCACACTGGACTCCATCAAATTTCAGGTCTCAGCACAAGTATCATTTCCTCAGAGGGGCCTCCCTGACTACCTGACTAAAGTTAGCCTCTTCCAACTCTGTTACATAACCCTATTTATTTCCTTTTTAGTATTTATTACAATTTGTCCAGCTTGTTTGTAACCTTGTGATCTATATCCTTCACTAGAACTTGAGCTCCATAAAGTCATTCTGTAGCCTACACAGAGCACTCAGCATGTGGTGTATAAATCAAGCAGTGCCCTTAGGCCATAGACTGACTACAGAGTAAAGAACTCTTAACAGTTTTGTTCTGTTTTGGTTTGTAGGAAGCCATCTATGTCTCAATAGCTCCAGAAGGCCTAGATGATGGTAAGACTTGGTACCATGCTGCCATAAGGGTAATGACAAATTGTTATTAAATTATCTGCATTCAGAGAAAATTTGCCCTTAACATGGCTAAAAGCACTCAAACTTGTAAATATATAGTATTTGTTGATATTTGCAATTAGCTTTTAAGTTATACAGGGGTTAAAATGTGTATAATTTCCCCCCTCAGTTGAGTCTCTTCCATTGGCTAAGAACCAACCACGAGTGTAACAGGCAATGAAAAGTTCTATGATTGAGAAATTGTGAGGTTCTCTGAGTGGCCTGGGTTTGCTTCAAATTGAAGATTCCCCTTTTTTTTTTTTTTTGGTCTCTGTCAACTATATAATATAACCTCACTGCTGCCCTTGTTTTCCATCTGACACTTGTTTCGATAAACTGTAGGTAGGAAGGGGAAGAAAGAATCTTCCTCCTTGGGCCTCTTCTTTTGGGCCAGTGCTTCCTAAAGCCAAATGTCAAGCTAGATGTCTCCTTGGTGCAAAGACAGCTGCCCCTTTGCCAGGCAGAGGCGGGATGGGACCTGGCCACAGTCCCAGTAAACGAAACATCTTATGAGTTCGGTTAATTGGGTCAAACTACCCTGCATGCAGTTGCTTTTTCGACTCCTGATATTTAGTAGTCTTAACCAAGTGTTCTAGCCGTGTTACCGCTGTCCACAAGGAAGAGTCGGCCACCAACAGCCGCCCGGATAGTGGCGAAAAATCATCAAAAAATCCCCAAGGGGGCGGCGAAGCGCTACCTAGGCGCTTCATGCCCGTGGGGTCGCGTGATACCTCCGTCTCGTGAAAAACTATCCGTCGCCCACCCTGAAGGATTCACGAAGGGAGTGGGCAATATCTCTACACCTCCGAGGCCCCCGATGGCCCTTGGCTCCCAGCTCCAGCGTCAGGGAGTAAGGCCCGTGCGTCCAACATTCGGTGAGGCCACTTCTCGGTCTGCAGCTTCCTGGCCGCCACTTGGATGTGCCGTGGGGATGCCAGTGGCCCCGTTTGCTGCACGACGCAACTAAGCGGAGAAATGAATCCTCAAGTTTAACAGAAGGAAACTAACCACGCACTTTCTCTTCTCACCCCGAGACCTTTGGGAGGGGAGCTCGAGGTACCTACCCACTCAACCAAAGAGCACTCCAGCCTCACTCGCTTTCCACTCGGAGGGAGACACGTATCCCGGCGTCCTCTCGGCCGACGCTGCGGGCTGGAGCCGCTCTGGCCGGCGCCCGGCGTCTCTATGGTGATGTCCGAGGGAGGAGGACGGAGGCGGGGCCGCTGTTCGCGTCGCTGCTGGCTTCCGCCGTGAGAACCGAGGGTGGGTACGGCTGAACGCTACGAGGGGCGGGAGAGGATGCAGTGGACGTCGCGAAACTGCGTCCTGAGGTGGCCGGCCGGAGGCAGGGACCACCTGAATATGATATCCGGATACTGGAAGGGCAGGACGCGGGAGCCGGAGCGAGGGGGCCGTGGGTGATTTGTGGGCTGGCACTGTTAAGCGGCCCCGAGTCTGCGAGGAACCCTGGCGCCGCCCTCCGGCTTCGCCTTCCCTCTGGAGCCCCTTGATACCCAGGTCTCGCCTAGGCTCCGCGCCCCTGGCGTTTCCCTGGCCCAGGGCAGGGTGCCGAGGGTCATGCCCGAAAAGCCCATTGCCATCCCTAACAAATAAAAGAGCCTTTCGCGCCCCGGATGCCTGGAGGCTTGACTGCTGTAAGTGTGACATGGTCTCTTCCCTGCTGATACCAGCACTTTCTGCCCCCTTGCTTAAAATGACATTTTAAAAATTATTGCATCACACCAGCCTCAGAAAAGGATGTCTTTGGGAATTTGCTGAGACTTGAAACATGTAGAATTCAGAATTGTATGTTTTGCTAGTAATGGTTGTACAGGAACTAAACATTTTTTTTTTTTTTGAGACAGAGTCTTACTGTGTTGTCTGGGCTAGAGTGCCGTGGCGTCATCCTAGCTCACAGCAACCTCAAACTCCTGGGCTCAAGCGATCCTTCTGTCTCAGCCTCCCGAGTAGCTGGGACTACAGGCATGCGCCACCGTGCCTGGCTAATTTTTTGTATATATTTTTAGTTGTCCAATTAATTTCTTTCTATTTTTAATAGAGACAGGGTCTCGCTCTTGCTCAGGCTGGTTTCGAACTCCTGAGCTCAAACAATCCTCCCGCCTCGGCCTCGCAGAGAGCTAGGATTGCAGGCGTGAGCCACCATGCCCGGCCTAAACATTTTTATATACAGAGATCTGCTGGCTATAAAAAGTTTCAGTGAAAGTGAACAAGATTTGTGCTTCCTTTCTTTGCCAGTTAGTTGCATTATATTTGGCATCTACTTTTGGTATTTTACCATTAAAGAAATTAAATATGTTAAGTTTCACAGCAACTACAGTTCAGTGAAAAGGACTTATTGATAAAGCATAATAAAGGCAGTTTGGGGTGTGGGACCGAGCTTTTACCTCAGGTTTTTGTAAATAATTTGTGAGGTTGGTGGCAAAGTAGGAAGGTTGAAGTAATAGATGAAGTTTGCATTGGGAATTTGTCAGCTCTTATTTGTTTTGACAGAAATAATGTCTAAAAGATTATTAGCAAATAATACATGATAGCATATAATTAAAGTAACTATCTAATTATGTGTTTGTGGAGTTAAGGAAAGGGGGAATTACTACTATGTATACCTTGCAGGCCCCATAGTTAATGGCATAGGCTATGATGGGGATGGGTGTGACAGAAAGTGGCTCCTGCAAGTCATAGAAACTTATTATATGGCTGTTACGTCAAAAAAATAATCCCAAATAATATCTTTAGTTTATAGGCTGAGGATTGCTTAGTGCTTACCCCCCGTATTATTATAATGAAATACATAAGAAACACCTTTAAGCACGTTAGATTTTTATACATGACAAGTTTAAAAAAAATTATAATTATAGAAACTTCTCAGCAAAAGTGAGTTTGTAAAATAAACTTGAAGCTTAGGAGTTTAGGAGATTCAGGAGCCCATTTTATTTGTAGGAGGAGGAACAGGAAGTGGAAAAGGAAAGAAAAAGATTTAAGAAGAAAAATGGGTACACTTAGGTGTCCTAGTTAGAGACAATAAATAATAGAGGAAGAATATTTAGTAAATTTCTCTTTCTCATACTCAGAATCTAAGCCAGAGATGTTTAATCTCTGCACCGATAGAGTGAAGTAGATGCCAGAAATGTGTATTTCTGGAACCACAATTATGCCTTTCTCAAAAACAAAAACAGTAGTGTTCTAGATATCTATTGCTGTGTAACAAATTACACCCAAAATTAGAGGCTTAAAACAGTGAACAATTATTATTTTATTCTTTCTGTGAGTCAGGACTTCGGAAGAGGCTTGTTTGGGTGGTTCTGGCCCAGGGTCTCGTGAAGTTGTAGTCCAGATGTTGGTGGGGGCTGCAGGCATCTGAAGGCTTGACTGAGGCTGAAGGATCTGCTTCCTAGTTCACTCGTGAGCTTTTTGTTCCTGTCTCATTAAGCAAGCTGTTTTATGCTTTTCATTTATAAAATCCATTTGTATCACCCCCATTATGTATATGTATTTCTGTTCATCAACCATGATACAGTTATTTGTAAACAATAAGTTTTTCTTTTTCAGACCTTTAAATTTGGATCATCATGTACATAGTTGAAGTAATCTTTTGATTTTTCATTTTGCTCATAACACTTATTAGCTACCCAATCCTTTTAGAATCTAAATTCATCATGTAGGCTGGTCTGATGGTAGTGGGTTATCAGAACTTACTAACATTAGTGTCACTAAAGTTGGTATTCAACTCCCCACTGCTAAAAAAAATAAAATAAAATAAAATAAATTCATCATGTAAAATGAAAGGTTAGTAACATTTAAATATATATTGTAATTATAAACATTGCTTCATGAGTGAAAGAAGATGTAAGATGTCACTAGTAGCAGTGGCTTACTCGTGAAATCATGAAATTTACTATTAAGTAGATTTTTGTCTGCCTTCTGGAATGAGATTTGAAAATAAATTTGTAATTAAATGCACGTATAAACAGAGTTTGAGTGGCAGCAGAGCTTTTGTGTTAGGTCCCTGTGTAGTCTGTGCCCAGCCTAGGTTCTTCTCATACTCATCCATCTGGGTGGCCTTCTTTCTCCTTAGGGCTAACTCACAGGCCACAGCTTACTAAAGGAGGGGAATAGTGCTGCTGTTGGTGCTGCTGCCACCATGCCTTTCTGGCTTGGCCACTAATTCAAGCTTTCTGTGCCCCAGTTTCCATCCAGCTAAGTGGTTAATGGCATTTATTTTTGGTTCAAAAGGATAGTTTATAAACTTTAAAGTTATATACACTAAGCCTGTAAACACATTGATTTCTTTATCCATTCAAGTGTTGAATGTTTATTTTCTAAAGTAGAGGCAATGATTCATAATTTGTGACATTATAAATCCTGTGGTTTATAGAAAGGATTTATGACCTTGTAATGGAGGTATCTCTTGCATTCTTTGCATTTTGATCATATCTCTTAGTTGAAAGTATCTGGAAATGATTATTTCCTCATCCTGGAGGAGTCTGGAGAAAGTAACCCAACCTTAGTGCTTTAGAGAACAATTTTCATTATTGCAAATGACCAAGAATTTGATGATTGTTGTAGACTCCATTGTCATTAACAAAGTAGTTCTCTGCAAAGTAAGTATTCATCACATAAGGTATCTACATAAGTTTATTTCATGTGAAGATGCAGAAATCTTTCATATAGACTTTTATGTGTCAACCAATATTAATATATAACTATGAACAAATTATACTACAAATTTGACTTATGAGATTAATGCTAATTAATGTTACGTATTTTAATGTCTTTATTGAGATATATAGTGTCATAAATATGTTTCTACATTTTTTAAATTACACTTTTAAGAGATTGACTTTAGCATCATGGTTTGAGTTGTTTAATTGCTTCTGGCTTTAACTTTTCAAAGCAGCTTTATTGGTTTTATGGCCATAATAGTAAGACAGTGAAAATTTTTAGAAAATCAAAAAGGAAAAAAAGGAATGATCACATTTGTAAGCCTACCACTGAGAGATAAGCCAAATGAATAGCCCCCCAGATTTTTAATGTGTCTGTGTTTTTTTAAACAAAAATATAATATTTTACATATTTTAATAGGCTGCCTTTTAAAATTTAATATCTATTGAGCATCTTTCTATGTCAGTAAATATGGGAATAAGTATTTTTTAATGGCTGTATAATGTGTGGAATTTATTTCACTAGTCCCGTTAATGGACATATATATTATTTTTAATTCTTTCTTTAAATAATGTCATGCTGAACATTCATGTGTAGCTCTTTGTATTTATCTAATTATTTTATTACTTTCTTAGAATTGGAAATGATGAGTCAAAAGTGTTTGCTTACTTTTTTATGATTTTTGGTACATAGTCAAATTGTCCACTAGAAAATTTATACCAATTGATACTCTTGCTGATAATCTTTGAGAATGTCATTTCTCTACTGCTACTAACAGAGTATTAGTAATCTTTTGTATGTTACAGTGAAATCTCATTTTAATTTGAATTCAATTGATTACTAATAAAGTTAAAATCTTTTCAAAAATTTTTTGACCATTTGTATTTCTTCCTTTTCCAAATTGTCTTTTCATATACATTGCCCACGTTATTATTGGGATACTTATTTTTTTATCATTAGTTTTAAGAGCCTGTAATGAATCAGAGCTACTAATGTTTCTCTGTAATAAATATTCCAAATTTCTTCTTTTATTTTTCTTTAACTTTGCTATGCAAAAGCTTTACATTTTTATGAAATTTTTAAAGATAATTTTGAACTCCTCTAGTTAGCTGAACTATGTAGAATTCTGTTTATAAATTCGTCTAAATATCCTAAATTTGATAACCAAACTGATTACAAAAGTTATCTAACCATGAAAATTTCCCAGGCAACTAGTCAACCAAACTGATTCCCTTTTCTTAATTTAACCAGAGAAATGGTCTATATTGTAAAACCTTAATCCATGTGGATGTGACATTTTAAAATCTAAAGTTGTTTATATAAAACTGCATTATACAGACTGAAAGTCAATGATCCAATCTCTAGGTATCATCTGATGATTGACTTTCTCCAGTAATATTTAGTAATTATAGCCTTTTCCAATCTACTGATTACCAATGTGGACTGGTTGTTTCCTGTTCTGTATAGTATATTTGGGAGATCCTCTTCTAATGCATCTTGAAGGAAGATACAGCCCATCTTCTCTTATATAGATGCTTCTTGACTTATCATGGGGTTACATCTGGATAAATGCATTGTAAGTT